CTCTGTTGCCCAGGCTGGAGTGCAGTGGCGTGATCTCGGCTCACTGCAACCTCCGCCTCCCAGGTTCAAGCAATTCTCCTGCCTCAGCCTCCTGAGTAGGTGGGATTACAGGTACACACCAGCACGCCCAGCTAATCTTTTGTGTTTTTAGTAGAGTCGGGGTTTCACCATATTGACTAGGATGGTCTTAAACTCCTAAACTCAGGCAATCCGCCCACCTCAGCCTCCCAAAGTGCTAGAATTACAGGCATAAGCCATCGTGCCCAGCCTAATTTTTGTATTTTTAGTAGAGATGAGGTTTCGCTCTGTTGGCCAGGCTGGTCTTGAACTCCTGGCCTCAACTGATCCACCTGCTTCTGCCTCCCAAAGTGGTGGGATTACAGGCGTGAGCCACCAGCACCACCTTAGACCTTGCTTTTGGACAGGAATGACCTACATGAATTACCTGGAGGAAGATGTAATCAGACTAGACTAAAAAGAAAGAAAGCCTCTGTCATCCTTCAGTCTATAGCCTAGACTAAAGGCTCCAACAAAGTTTGTTAATCTCCTTCCTGGCTGCCCCTCCCCTTTCTCATTCTTTGCAGGGATAAGAGGTGATTACAAGTCCTCTTGGCAGTGCTGCTATTGCTAGGGTGCCCACTTCTAAAGCAAACAAAAGAAAACACAAACACATCATCACGCCTGCCCTTTTAAGACCAAATTCACTGGCACCAAGGGGTGGGCATGTGTCCTAATATGATGTAAAAGAAAGGAAGGAAGGAGGGACAAAGGAAGGGAAAACTGTGAGGGGGAATGGAGAGAGAAGTGTACAGGGTTTCATTCCTGACTGGTGGCATCTGAAAAGTGAAGTCCTATCCGTGGAATTTTGAGACAGAAATCTGCTGGGGGAAAACCCGCACTCCAGCAAACAGCATGCCCTAGTGGTAGCACCAAGAAGTGCTAGTGGACTCTAACCTACTTCAGTCTGCCCATGCAAACTAGGCAAGGGAGGCTGCCATTCATAGAGAACATGAAGCCCCTGTCTTTTCTCAACCACTACCTAGCACCCTGGACAAGAAGGCACCATCTTTGGCAGCTCACATTTCTCCCTAAGACCCTAGGTCTTAGGGTAATGCTTCCGCCATTCAGGCAGCCTGCGACCAACAACATCCCTAGGCTCTCCCAAAGGGGCTCTTCTGCCCCAGGTTTTCTTTTTTTTTTTTTTCTTTTTTTTTGGAGGGGGGGTTTGGGTTTTGGAGGTTTTTTTTTCTCCGAGACGGAGTTTTGCTTTGTCCCCCAGGCTGGAGTGCAGTGGCGCAATCTCTGCTCGCTGCAACCTCCACCTCCCGGGTTCTCCTGCTTCAGCCTCCCTAGTAGCTGGGATTACAGGCACCCACCACTATGCCCAGCTAATTTTTAATTTTTATTTTTTTTATTTTTAGTAGAGACGGGGTTTCACCATGTTGACCAGGCTGGTCTCGGACTCCTGGCCTTGTGATCCTCCCACCTCAACCTCCCAAAGTGCTGGGATTACAGGTGTGAGCCACTGCACCTGGCCCACCCCAGGTTTTACATGAGCAACCCCATAAGATAACAGCAGCCCTTGTCGTCTTTCCCTGTCTGAGATGCATTCATCTCTGAACACCCAGTGAAGATTACAGGACAACACACTCATCCTACAGCCTGTGGAAGAAATTTGATTCAGAAACTGGCAGCAGGGCCTCCAGTATGCAGTGCTGGGCAGAACAGTCAGTGGAGCCCCTCACCCTAACCTCACCCTCGAATGGCAACACCAAAACACACTTCCTCCAGGAACTAGCACATAACTCAGGGTCTTGGCTCCTCAGCCGAGCTCAGGGAACTACTGTAAGAACACACTTTCTCTCCCAGAGACCCCATGTCCTGCCTTCCTGGCTCCAACCAGTCTGTGCTGCCTCCCCTAACAACAGAAACAGAAAACAGATACACTCTGGTATGACTAGATTTCCCCATCACTCCAAGCTAGAAGCTCAGCTCCTCCCTCCCCAGTTCTCTGTTTGTTTTTCTATATTCTACTGTGGCTAAGTCAGTCTCTTAAAAAAAAAAAAAAAAGGTGAAACAAAAAAGAAACTGTTTACTCCTGTGGCCAGGGCTTCCATTAAGGAAGGGCTGAAGTCTCTGGGCAGAAGTTTCAGCCCAGGGAGGGACACGGCTGGGATCAAGAAACAGGAGGCTCTTGGGTCTCCATTCAGCCGATTTTTAGGACTCACTCCATCCTCCTCCTACACTTCCCCTCTCACCCATTGTCCCTTCTCTCCCACCTCTTACCTGTCCAGTGACCTTTGGGCAGGTGCAGGGAGGAGGGGCTACCAGCTCAGTCAAGGGAGAGGGGAAGGTGCTAGTTAGGAGAACCAAGGGTATGGCTCACGCTGCAGCAGCTGTTGACTCTGAGGAGCAGAAAAAAGCAGAGGGTAACGGGGACTGAAATGGAAAACAGGAAAACACATGTGTGACTCTGGCCGGCAGCGGGGAGGGGCCAGGGGACGGGCTAGAGCTGGGACTGCCTGGTCAGACCCAGAGGACCTCAATGCCTGCCAGCCTCCAGGCACCTTCTCCACTACACTGGCACCAAATACCTGAGTCTCAGCTCCTTCTCCCTCCCTCAGCCCCACCTCCCTCTTCCTTGTTGCCCTACATTTACTGAGCATTTAAGCTTTCCCCTCCATTGATAGTGACCTCTGATGCCTCTTGCAACTCCCCTCATTCCATTTCCTAATCATCTCCCACTCACTCCCACTCATGTACTATCCTTAGTCCTGCAGAGGGGATACGATCCCATGGTCAGAAGGAAACTTTGCAGTCCCATCTCAAGAGTGTCAGCGCCATTTCAGCCCCTAAAGCAACCCAAGGGAGGTAATGCAGGCCAAGGAAGACCACTTATAGGAGGACAGCCAAGCACATTTAGACACCAAGCAAGCTCACTCACAGCTGAGATCTCTAATTGGTTCAGGTGATATCGATGTGTGTCACCAGGTAAGAGCCAACTGGGCCATGGCACCCTGGGCAGACTAATGAGTTGGCATCCCTTCAAACCAGTTTTATTTAAACATCTGTCGAACGTTTACTTAGCAGAGGTGGGGGAAATACCAATTTTCCTGGAATACAAATTGTGTAAGCCTCTTTATATTCAAAATTAGAAATTATTACGTATCAGCCGGGCGTGGTGGCTCACGCCTGTAATCCCAGCACTTTGGGAGGCCAAGGCGGGCAGATCACAAGGTCAGGAGTTTGAGACCAGTCTGGCCAACATAGTGGAACCCCGTCTCTACTAAAAATACAAAAATTAGCCAGGTATGGTGGCGGGCACCTGTAATCCCAGCTACTTGGGAGGCTGAGGCAGGAAAATCGCTTGAACCCGGGAGGCAGAGGTTGCAGTGAGCACTCCAGTCAAAAAAAAAAGAAGAAATTATTACACATCTTCATCACATGCAATATTCTGAAGCAAACAGCTTCTTGGTAAGCACAGTAAACCACTTAAAATCAGATA